ATTTTCTTCCATTAATTAACAAGTACTTCATGCTCATCTCATATTTTGCCTGTCTAAGGTCTAGAATCAACCATTTCTCCAAGAAGCTCTCAGGAAGAATTTTGAAGGGAGGTAACAAGTGGTAAATATGAAGAATTTGGAAAATAGATTGACAGTTGGCTCAGTGATGGTGATAGTGCTCTTGCTCTGAGCACAGATGTTGACTTCTGTATTAAAATTTTTCTGATTCTAGGAAAACATTTTTTTTCTCTTACAATTTAAAGAACCAAATTTGAAATGTTTGAATATATGGCATAACCTTGAAACAAAATTTACAGCAGTTTAATATATACTTATGTTGGTACACACAAACTCTTGCTCTTTATTTTTTCTTAGTGTTTTGATAAAGTTATTAAAAATAGAGTAAAAAGACCACTTAGATACCATTGTTCTCGGAGTTGACAATTAACATTTTGTATCACTTTTTAAAGTTTTTGAAGACTTCTTTTTTTCCAATATATGTTCCCATTCGCTTCTCTTCTCCCTGATACCTTTTTTGTGTCTTCCTAGGCTTTTTTATTGATGGGTTAAAGAAAACTTTAAAAAACAGCCTTATTGAGGTATAATTAACACAATAAACTGCACATATTTACAGTGTAAGATCTGATAAGTTTTGACATGTATATACGCACAAAACCATCACCAAATTAGGATAGTGAACCTATCAGTCATCCTCAAAAGATTTCTCATGCCCCTTGTATTCCTTCTTTCCTGTCTGTTTGCTCTCACCCTTCTGCCCCCTGGAAATATCTGATCCTTCTGTCGTTGTAGATTAGTTTGCATTTTCTAGAACTTATATGTAAATGGAATCATATGGTATATGTTCTCTTTTTCTTTTTTAATTACTGAATGCTGGTCCATTGTGTTGACATAGCACAGCTTGTTTATCCACTCACCTGTTGGTGGATATTTGGTCTGTTTTTAGCTGTTTTTGTCTGTTACAAATAAAGCTTCTGAACTTTATGTACAAGTCTTTGCATGGATATGTGCATTTATTTCTCTTGGGTAAATACCTCAGAGTGGAATGTTTGGATCATATGGTAAATGTGTTCTTAACTTTTTAAGAAGTTGTCCAACTGTTTCCCAAAGTGGTTGTACCATTTTACGTATCCTTACGAGCAGTGTTCGAGGATTTCAGTGTCATCATATGCTGGCCAATGCTGTGTATGGTCAGCCTTTTTAATTATAGTCATTAAGAGAGGTGTGTAGTGGTACTTCTCTTTTTGATTTGTTTTGTTTTGTTTTTTAAAAGATGACCGGTAAGGGTATCTTAACACTTGACTTGGTGTTAGTACCACGCTCTCCGAAGTGAGGTAAAATCAGCCATCCCTATTTGTTTTGTTTTGTTTTTTAAAAGATGATCGGTAAGGGTAACTTAACACTTGACTTGGTGTTAGTACCACGCTCTCCGAAGTGAGGTAAAATCAGCCATCCCTGTATAGGGATCTGAACCTGTGGCCTTGGCGTTATCAGCACTACACTCTCCCAAGTGAGCCACAGACCGGCCCTTACTTCTCTGATTTTAATTTGCATTTATTTGTTTACTAATGATCAGTTTTTTAAAAATTATACATTCATATCATTTCTTTGGTGTGAAGTGTTTTTAAGTCTTTTGCTTTTTGGGGGGTTGGGGGGTTGGATGACTGTTCTGGGCATCTGAACTCTTGACCTTGGTGTTATAACACTGCTCTAACCAGCTGAGCTAAACGGCTGGTCTGCCTGCTCATATTTTGTGGGGTTATTCAGTTTTGAGAGTTCTTTATGTATTCTGGATACAAGTTTTTTAAATCAGATAAATGCTTTGCTAATATTTACTTCCAGTTTGTGGGTGTCTTTTAATTAATAGTATAGTGTCTTTTGCAGAGCAGAAGGTTTTAATTTTTGTAGAGTCCACATTATCAATTTGTTCTCTTATAAATGCTTTTGTTGTATCTAAAATCTTTGCTTAACCCAATGTCATACATATTTCTCCAGAAGTTTAGTTTTAGGTTTTATATTTTGGTCTGAACCATTCTGAATTAAATTTATATATGGTGTGTTCTGAGTTAAATTTATATATGGTATGAGGCATGAAAATTGAGGTTCTAGGGTTTTTTTTGGTTTTTTTGCATATGGATATCTAATTATTCTGGTACCATTTGTTGAGAGGAGTATCCTTTTTCCACTGAATTGTCTTTTTGCACTTAGGAAATAGTTGTCCGTTGATGTATAGGTGTATTTCTGAACTCTGTTCCATGGATTAATTTGTCTTTTTTTTAATGTCCAGCCTGTTTTAAAAAATACATGACATAATGTATCTATGAACAATATCTGGTATTGCTTTGTGTGTTCCTAAAACACCTTTAGACATACTTAAGGCTATCATACAGTACGTACTTGGCAACTGACTTTTTTCATTTTAACATCGTTTTTGAGATCTATTTTATGCTGACTTTCTGATAGCTACTAACAGGGTGACTATATGTTTTGGTTTGCTAGGGACAGTCCTAATTCACTCCAGTTAACCTGGTATAATTATTAATAGTACTAGTTTTCAGTCTTAACTCTATTTTATGCTGACTTTCTGATAGCTACTAACAGGGTGACTATATGTTTTGGTTTGCTAGGGGCAGTCCTAATTCACTCCAGTTAACCTGGTATAATTATTAATAGTACTAGTTTTCAGTCTTAAAAATGTGCATATGGTTATCTGTGAATAAACCAGTTTATTATGCATTTCCCATTTGAGGGATATGTAGGTTGTTACCAATCTTATATTTTAGAAGTAGGGTGGCAGTTTCTTTTGTATATATACCTAAGAGAGAATTGCTACATTATTCATCAGAGTGTTTTTGATTTTATTAGATATCTACACAATTGTTCACTACTGTGGTTGTACCAGTCGAGACTCCATCTTCACTCCATCTTCAGCAGTCTTGCAGGCTCTCTTTTCCTACTTGCTTTTAGTGTTTGGTATCGATTGAGATTTTAATACTTTGGGGGATCTCTGGTGAGAAGTATAGGTTTGAATTTACATTTTACTGGTTACTTAGCCTTTGTTTTGTTTGTTAGCCATTTGGTACTTTTCTGGGAACTGCCTGTTCCATTTCTTTTGGCTGTTTCTCTCGAGTTATTCTTTATTTTAGTGACTTACGTGCAGTTTTATATATGTTCTGGATACCGATCTTTTGTTACGTGGTACTATATTTTTTCTTTTACAACTGGCATTTATAGTGGACTGTTCAGTCATTTTTCTATTTTTAACTTTGTTAGAAAGAGTAAACTCTGCTATTCAAAATTCCAGTGAAGTATGGTTGGCCTTTGTCATACTTCCATTTCCATCTGTTAAAAATTGGAACAGAAATGCTCATCTGAGGTTGGGTCAGATGCTAGTCATTTTTGAACAAAGTAGCTAACCTCTTTTAAGAAAGGAAAATTTATATGGGAGTTCTAATATATAAAAAAGTAGAATTGCTCTGGTTTAAGTAAAGTAATAGGAGATCTCAACTTGGAAAACACAGGCTAGATGACTGCTAAGAACTTCTAACATCTGGCTGTTACCTTTAAATTACGAAGAATCTAGGATCAGTAAGAATATCTGAGATTATCTTGTTTTGGACTGAGAGCCAAGGGAAAACAGCAGTTTCTTATTCTGCTTCAGGTTAGTCTAGTATGGTACATTAGTTTAAGGCTTAGGATTCAGATTCTTATTACTGATATCCTCATAACCATGCCTGAAGCAAACTACCAGATACTTAAAAAAAATTCATGGAAAAAAACAAAAGAAAAACAAAAACAAAAGTTATGGAAAGATTCATATTCTCTTTTGATTCTATTTTTTCCATGAGCTTTTTGAAGTACCTTTGTACTCTCCTAGTATTATTGAAAAACTGGTCCATATTGTGGCTGTAATTTGGGGAAAATGAAGAATAGGACTTGAGCTAATATCGATTTGGTGAAACAAGATGTAAATGGGGCAGATATTCAAGAATAATGCAGAAATAAACTAGATGAGGATAAACATTTCCATAAGTTGCTTATTTAGAAATTAACCCAAATCAATCCATTTTGCCCATTCTGTTAAAAAGACAAAAACCGAAAAACTAAAATTTTTTTCCTTTTTCTTTTATACAGTAATTAGATCTGTACATATCCCTCTGCTTGTATGTTTAAGTTTAGGATGGTTTTATCTCTCCCCCTCCTTAAATGCAAAATTGGATTATCTCATATCAGATTTTTTTCAAAAAATTTTTTATTTTTATGATAGCTGACAGTGATTGAGGATTTACTGTGTAGCAGTTGCCTTTCTTAGCACTCGGAAGTATTAACTTAAAACTTTGTTAGTTTTGAGGTAGTAGGGATTATTTTGTTGAGTAAAGACATCTTACTTGTAAAGTTCCTCCCATTTTAATTTTGCGATTCTTTTTTGTTTCCTTATAAAATGGACTAATAAGCATATTTAATAATTTTTAGTTTTGTAGTTTCTTTTTTAAAGATACTAAAATTTTATCTGATTTAGGTGGAGTAGAAAATACGATAGGTTGTACCTGGATATCAAAGCTGTATCATTTAAGATTATTGCCCTTGAATCTAGTATTGCCACAATTAAGAATGTGTTTGTAATTTTATAACTGAGATGCTCTTAACTGGGTTTAATGACTTAAGAAAATTATGATAAGATGCATGTTGGAAATACATGTCTTTGAGGTTTTTAAAAATATTCAGTTTAAGAAAATTGAATATTGGGGATAATGATGAATTCTTCATAGTGATTTTTTCCCCCGATATTTTTATCTAATTGCCATAAATTTGAGTGTATGAAATCTCACTTTGTCTGTGTGGGTTTTGTTCTTAAAATGTTTATTCCTTTCTAAAACCAAGAATTGCTTAAGTGATCTGAGTTCGTTTCGTTTAAATGATTTCATTTTTTCCTCTTGTGTTTGATCTTTCAGGTTGGACATATTTGAATTTTTTTTTTCCAGGTTGAATTGATCAAAGCAATGGTTATGGAGAAGCCTAGTCCCCTGCTGGTCGGGCGGGAATTTGTGAGACAGTATTACACATTGCTGAACCAGGCCCCAGATATGCTACATAGGTAAGACATTTTTTTCCTGCATCATCTAATGCTGGTTTTCAGTATGTGGATACCTTTCCTTGAGTCTCCCATTTCATCATCATGTGCCTTGTAGGGTTATTGCATGATAGTACTTTGCACATAAGTACCAATAAATAACGGCCGTAAAAGTTATATGAGTTTCTAAAAAGTTATAAAAAAATTAAAAAAAAAAAAAAAAGTTAGATCAAGTTATCTAAAATTATACACTATGAGAAAATAACATCTAAAAGTGTAGAGGTATAATCATGCATTATTTAGTAAGAATGTATCNAGACATTTTTTTCCTGCATCATCTAATGCTGGTTTTCAGTATGTGGATACCTTTCCTTGAGTCTCCCATTTCATCATCATGTGCCTTGTAGGGTTATTGCATGATAGTACTTTGCACATAAGTACCAATAAATAACGGCCATAAGAGTTATATGAGTTTCTAAAAAGTTATAAAAAAGTTAAAAAAAAAAAAAGTTAGATCAAGTTATCTAAAATTATACACTATGAGAAAATAACATCTAAAAGTGTAGAGGTATAATCATGCATTATTTAGTAAGAATGTATCGAAGAAGATCAAAGACTTCCTGTAATAACATACTTTTGGGTGGACATGCTTTAAAAAATTGGAGTATCATTTTCATAGAAATGATGCATGCTTGCTGTGGGTTAAAGAACAGATGTATAAAACAAATAACAAAAGTATCCAGTAATTCAGTAGCAATTTTTCTGTGTACATTCAAGCATGTTTTAATATACCATCTTATAACTTTTGACTTGATAATTTAGGGTCATTTTTCAGGGTAGCACATGTATCATGTTAATTTCAATGGCTACAAAATTATTTTATAGAGAGGTAGCATACTTATGTAGGTTGCTTCCATTATTTCTTTTTACAAACAACGTTGCATTATTTGAAACTATATTTATTGCGGATTTGTTAGAATAATTTTATTTTTATTTTTATTTTTTTGTCCTTTTTGAGACTGGCCGCACCGGGCTCAGCTAGTGAGCGCTGTGAGCGCACCGGTCATCCCTATATAGGATCCGAACCCGCAGTGGGAGCGCTGCTTCGCTCCCAGCACCGCACTCTCCCGAGTGCGCCACGGGCTTGGCCCAGAATAATTTTATAGAAGTTCCAAAATGTGTATCTGCTGGACTAGAACTATTTTTTTCCTTTATGCTTTGACCAGTTTGCATATTGGATACCACGTGACTATCAGGTGCAAAAGAAAATTTACAGATTTTTTTTTCAGTACAGGATTTGCCCTTGTTTTGAAAATGGAAAATAGCTCTTGTGGTTTTTGTTTTTTTTTTTTTTGCTCACATACATTTTCAAATATAAAAGGACTCTCCAAGTTTATGGATAGTATAGCTGTCTCCAGCCTGTTTTCTTCCTGAGTGAAAACAGGAACTTCTGTTTTATTTTAAGTGGACTTCCTGGCATGAACTACAAGATTTTTCTCAACATGATCATTCTACTCTGAAACCTGGAACTTGTGACTTACAAAACAAATATTCTACATCATTGACCAAATCTATTCCCATTTAGCAAATGTTGACTGAGTGGCATGTAGGGGATAGATAGGTGATTCCGTACAGAGATGAAAAAGAAAACACATTCCAGTGAGGCTAATAGCTACCAAACATGAAAAATACCTGGTCTTAGGACACTTCATGATGACAAGTAAATTATCTTTTTCTATTTTTTTTTTGTTTTTAATTATCTTCTCATTGCATAGATTTTATGGAAAGAACTCTTCTTATGTCCATGGGGGATTGGATTCGAATGGAAAGCCAGCAGATGCAGTCTATGGACAGAAAGTAAGCATACCAAGCTTTATTTAGGCCATTAAGCAGCTAGAAAATAACCTATAAAATTGATGAGGATGCGTGCTTAATAGATTTGCTGAAACTTAAAGATTTTTCAACTTCTTAGTGGAAGTTTAGGTATCTAATCACTATTTGATTAATGTATTTGTTGAAATGCTTATGTGATGTTACATTTGTTCATTTTGTATGATGTATTGGGAAGTTTCCACTGTTAGAAGATAATTGGTTTTAGCATAGGAATCATCTTTTCTAAACTTAATTCAGGACAGTTATTTTAAAAAGCTCAATTGTGGTCACTGGGAATAGAGTGTACAAAGGTAATTTAAAGTAGTCTTTGGATTTTATAATTTAAACATGCACATTCTCTTTGCCTGTGTTGTGTTGGAAGTTTTTTTGGCTGGGGGTTGTATAAATTTTAACTCTTGCCTTGATTCCTTAGGAAATCCATAGGAAAGTGATGTCACAAA